ATGCAAAACCCAAAATAGGTTAGGTGCTTAAAGGAAAGGACAAATCAGTTGTTCACCACAGAAATTTTGATCAAGCTCAAGTCAGCACTCCTCCGGCAAATACCAACAAGTAGGGCACAACAACACCTTGAAACTCACAATATTTGAATAAGAAAGGTATAAGTGGAATGGGAACTGTGGAGAGAAGATTAGATAGAAGACCAAGATGAAATTAAAGAAAGATGGTAGAAGAAAATAGCTCGCAAGCTATGACAAACTCGTAGGTTTTAAATAATCACATTCCAAAAAATTCTTCAAAATCTCTCTCCAAAAAAACTCTCTTTCACAAAGGAATTCAGCCCTAATTTATAGGAGAAAGAAGGGGGAATAGCATTCAATAATTCACATAATTGTGCCACCAAAAATAGCCAATAGGAGCCTATCAAGACATCCCATTTACTGTGAAGTTAAAGCACACAACATAGGAAACAACAAGAGGAAAATCTGAATAGCAAGCAGCATGGAAACCGAACAGCCACCATGGGAAGAATAAACAACCACATGGAAAGACCAAACAACCACAAAAAACCTCTCCAAATCAGCCCCTACCTTGACTGCATCATGTAGTTACTGGATATTGGGTTTTGGCTTATGCTCTTTATTATCCAACTATCCTTATGTATCCCTTTTGATTGTTAATAATAATTAGGGCTCTACTAAATTGATCCTTAAACTCTACTTCTCAAAAGAACTCTCAATCTTTCATTCTTATATGACGTCTTTGTGGGTTTCTAGTGTGAATTGGTATGATGATAAATCTTTCATAAGTACCAACCTCTTTCTTTTCTCTCCACCTACTAAATCTTATTTGACAGAAATTATTGGTTTATCCTAAAGCTAATTTTTTTACATGTGGTGCTTTGCTTCTACCGATGTCCATGAGTTTGTTGATTTCTTTACTTATTTTGATTTTTTAGTTCTCTTAGACTAAAGAACATTTTCAAAGTCCTTGCATTGTTTCTTTTATTAAGCCTTAAGCAAGTGCTTGAGTCATTTTTACTTTCTGCTTAGGCATATCATTATGCAATTAAGAAAGCCGATCATGTCTCGAACCCTCATAAAAATTCTCTATTTTTCATATTTTTTATAATTTAGGCTTTTTCCCTATATTCCCCAACAAGAAAATGCTAAACCTAATGATAATCTATTCCACTTGTATGTTGTATCAACTATTGAATAAGTTCATTAGCATCTCAAGTTATGTCAAGTAGATCTAAAGGAACAAAAATATATAGTAAACTATACAAAAGTAATAATCATTACTGAGAAAAGTTATGCAATAAAGTATTGAGGAACAACTCTTCGTCCCTTAATTTTGTAATGCATTATTTTTGAGTAAAAGCAAAAGTTCTAGGAATATCAAATAGTTTTTTTTTTTTAACCGAGTATTTTTTATTTAAATATTTTAGTCTTGTACTAGTCATTCTCTATAACATTTATCCATGAACCAATAAAGTAGGAACTATGAAAAGTTAAATATATAAAGGAGAGTAAGAAAAGAACTTATTCGTAGAGTCAACCACAGGTGGCACAATACCTTAGAAATAAATCATATTACAATGGAAAATAGATTAGTTGGAAGGAGGTGAACACAGACATAGAAGATGTGAATGTGAAATTATATTGAGTTCACTGATCAAATTTAGACTTATATTCCAGTAGATAAATAAAAATTTATAAAGAATTTTCATGATTTTTAATTGCTCACATTATCAAATTTTTGGCTGTCAAATCTTGACATTTGAAACAAAAAAATGTTAATAGTAAATAATTTCTTGGAAGATAATCCAAGGTCCATGCTTAAAAAAGAGAAAGTAAGATTGTTATTAGAAGAAAAATCAGATGAGAAAAATAGGTGTCCCACCACCCTTCACCCAGCTTGCAGTGGCTATCTACTAGAGAGACAATGATAGGGAGGGTAAAAAAAAGAGGGCCTTCAGAAGCCATCATGATAACATCTCAATGTTGAAAAGTTTTTTGTTAAAAAAAAGGGTTGAAGATAGCTAGAGGGATACTTGTCATTGATAAAAAAGGTGCCATGATGATGGCTGCTCTACTATGTTTGAGGCCCAGATAGAGAAATGCAATTTGTCGATGTTATCTCTATTTGAAGCCAAGATGATACACCAAGCCAGAAGCAACAGGGAGACGGCTAGGGCACTCAATGGCTTGGAGTTGGATCGAACCATATAAGCCTTAGTTTTTATTTAATATTTGAAAAAATAAATTATAAAATTATTAAGTTAAAATCTTAAACCCTAAAAATTAACATAGCAAGCACTATGTGGGATTTATGCCATCTGCTATTGCTATTGCATGTCGCAAATAGCACAAGCCATTTTTACTCTATGTGCCATCTTAAGCAAATGGTGTAAAGGATGTGCCACGTTGCACCATGCGCCATGGCATGCTCTTTTTATGCTATTGACATGTATGAATGTGCCACGTTGCACCATGCGCCATGGCATGCTCTTTTTATGCTATTGACATGTATGAACAAAGGAGAGAGAGGGAGATGTGGTGTCCACATCCCTAACATCACTCACATTATTAGGCTTAATTATTTTTTAAAAAGAAAAAAAAGGAACTAAATTAATGCAGTTATTTTTGCTCCATCAAATTTTAAGAATACTTTGTGTAAATTCATTAAAAAAATAAGAAATTAATGATAAGGCAGAGATAGAGAAACGCAAGAATTGGATGAAAGATTCTTAAAACATTATACATGAGGTATGATCCACCATCCTTTGAACATACATACAATTTCCCCTTAATTCATATTTCACATTTATATATCCTTTTAAAGGAACCCTTGAGCTATTGGATCTCAATCGATCAATTGATAACCGCTTAAAATTCCATCCACCTTGACATCAACTTAGAAGCCACCAATAATGGTAGCTCCTAAGTCATTAACCATAATTTTCACCCCGTCCTAAAGCAACCCCCATCCTTCAATCCTTTGTCTCGCACAACCAACCACTAACGCTCTTCTTCCACACTCAATCAAAGCTGCAATAGTAGTCACAATTTCATATGTACCATTAAATAGAAAAATATAATAATTTATCGATCTTTAAACCTTCTAACTTATGGATAACGACACCTGTAGATAATTCAAGCCTCCATTTCATTATTGAATACCATAATCCTCCATATTATCTCATTGTCATTAAGAATGATCTTCACCACTTCTAGCCACTATACATGTTTTGATCATCTCCATCATCATTCACCCAATGATGCACAAATATGGACATGACATGACATGGACATGAGATACATCAAATACTAAAAATATAGGATACATATATGAATTAAACACGACATTATGTTTTTTGTCTTAAAAATAGTCTACATAAATTGAATAAGCAGAATATTAAGAATTATTTAGAAATAATAAATCATTTAATTAGAATTTATTCTTAAAATGATTAATATTAAGATGTTGAGAGTCGAGCATAGTTATCATGTGCTAGGCATCAAGATGGGAGATGATAATGCTGTCAAGAGTCGGGCATTTATGTTGTGTAATGGGTATCGGACAACGATGTCAAGGCGGCATTGATCATCAATGTCAATAAAGCATCAATTGTTAATTTTGAAATGACGTTAGACAAAGAAGAGATGTCGAGATGATGTAGGGGTATGATTGTTGGTGTATAAATTGCTGACATCAAGTAAAAATGTTAAGGTAACATCGGACTTTGATGTAGAGATAATTTTGAGATGTTGATATTGTGATGGTGTCAAATGTCGATGTTGAGATGGCATTAGGTATTGTTGTGAAACCCTGGTTATAATCCATCAAAAAGAAATGAAAATGAGAATGTTCAAGAAATAGGATATTAAGTGCAGGCAAATGATTTTGGGCTATAGATATAAAATAAGAAAATTATTTTTTATTTTTTAATAAAAGATTTTAAATTCAAGAAATTATATTTAAAAAATCATAAAATATTTAATACACGTATATCAATTTTTTTTAATTAGATACGCCTTCGACATATCTCACACATGTCGGAAATGTGTCATATATGTGTCGTGTTCAATACATATCGAGCACTGCATACCCCTTTGAAAAGAAGTATCGGTGCATCATAGCCTTCAACATAAGATGAAGCCCTTTCCCCTCTCCCTCCCCACTCTCTCGAAATCTTTGGATATTATACATAGCTAATTATACTAGATTGACTCTAATTCCAACTTTAAAACTTTTCCCAACAAGTTGTATTTCAAAATGAAAGTACAAAAATATTATCAAACAAATAATCCAACTTAGAGTGGCTCTGATAAGATTTAAATTCAAATGAACCTAACCAAAACACATTCCGTTAACAAATAAAAGCAATAATAGCTTCATAAACGCGAGGACTATGTTCGATAAAACAAAACCATATTGCACAAACTAGATAGCCTTGGTGGCAATACCACGAATGCCAAATAGTACACAATAACCATCACAACAAGAAGCAACTAACTTATAATACTATCATGGCCATACAAGGAAAATAGAACATACATCTTGACGTTGAAGAGGAAAAATATAAACCGCAAGTTAGAGGTTCTTAATTTATGTAGGTTTGTTTTATAGTGCAATCACTCATATCGGATACAATCCATATTTAATAAATCCATCATAAGTTTTCCCTTAACAAATGATAGTTGCATTATTTGAACATCAATGTCCTACAAGCCAAATCTAATCAAGATGGCCACTAAAATGACTCAAGTCTTTATCCTTCAATGAAAATGAGAGATAAAATCAAAATATTTAAAGTTAGACCATGCAAAAATATAAATTCATTGATTATTAATAATTAAGTTGGACAATTGGCCAATTACCACACTTATCATTGGCAAGAGATTCTTCTCCATAAATCAGGTGAAATAAAAATATGAACAAAAAAAGAAGAGCATTAAAAAAATATAAAAAAGGCAAAAAAATACTATACAAATACCTTCCATATTGCTTTTGGATCCTTTGCCCTAGTTGACCGAAGCATTTCATATAACAGCCCTGCAACCATACAAAAAAAATGACTAAAATATAAAACTACTAGTAACATATACAACTAAGGCATCTTAAGTAAGAATTTGTAGGACAAACTAAAAGCATAACCCAACTTTAAGCATATTCAACAGGACATTATATTTGATGGACCACCCAATGGATGGGGGCAAATCAAAACAATGAGATTTTAAGAAAATTAATCAAAATTTTGGTAGTTTCTTCACAATCCAAAAGCACAACTTAACCTTAATCTTAAGTATATTTTATTGTACTTGCATGTTTATGAGTTTATTTTAGTTCAAAATAAAGTCAAAGTTAACCACTGCAAGATGATTGCATTTGATAGATCGTATTCGTGAATTCAAATATAATTTAACATGAATGTATTCTTATTGCTTCCAACTAGGACAGCTACTTTTGTGAGAGCACCTTCCTCTGGACTCTTCTATCCTATATTTGGCATACCTTCAACTACAATTACTTGTCACCCTCCAAATAAGGCTAATTGAAAATAAGTCCCTTACAAACATCCTATTTACATTAGCACTCCAACAAATATTCAAATGGTACTATGATAGTTCCAATGCATTCTAACTAAAGCATCATTTCAATTAAAAGGCAATTGTTCATTTGTGGGAAAGATTATTCATTATCATAGTGAATAATGGCAATTGATGAATAAGAGTCAAGACCTCAACAACACAAAAGTTCGTATATCATGTTCAAGCTTATGTTAGCCCTATGAATCATCCATTCCTGCCTATGATTATTTAACAAAAGGAAAAAAAAATATCCATATTATATTATTGGGTACATCAGTAAAAAATTCCAACTATTGCACCTATAGTAGCTCATATGAGAACTTGAGAAGCTAGAGGATTGCATCTGAAACATGCATACAGTTGAAATGATAACCCACTAAAAAAGGTCAAAACGAACTTGACATATTGCCATTCCAAGCACCCTTCACACATAAGCATAACCCATCGATGATTTCCACTAAAACTTCTCCCAATTGTTTCAAAGAAAAAGCATGAAATACCCAGAAAAGAAATAAAAAGGTAATAGCCCAACACATGGAGCACCGGCGAATGCAAGGCATAGGGATGGGTCAATGAGCAGCTCATGGTTTTAAAACAAATATAATATTAATAACAAAAAGTTGTATCAAGTAAAAATATGATGGTACTTTGTTAATAAAATGCTCTATAACTTATAGTATAGTGAGACTAGACACAAGCACTATTACTCTTGCAAGGCACAAAAAATCAAAATAATGCATGCTATTCAGACTTTTAATGTCTTATAGTACATTGCTCGGTTAAATGGATGTGATGAGGGTGAAACTATTTTTGTTAAAGAAGATTATAATATGGGGCATAATAAAAATGAATAAGAAGCAATTTTGGTGTAAGATGAAAATTCTAAGGATGACTAGTTAAATTTTTCAAATTGAACATGGAATGGGTAAACAAATTATTAATTATGTTTTGAGCAAAATTATCCCCTTAAGAAAATATGGTCATCCTTCTTTAACTAATCATAAGCTTCAATGCCTTATATTTTGTTCAAATTTCGTATTGCTACTGCACGATAGTTCTATACTTCCATTTGTCAATCTAGTTGGTTTCTTTGCATGATAGTTTTTTTTTTCAATCTATTTTTCACTCATTAACTTTCACATAAGTTAAACAATCTTTTGTTCTTCTAATGTGAAGTTATTTTTTAATATGTTCTCATATATTGTTGAATTATTAATAAATTCATAATTTTTTTATGAATTGTATAAATTTTCAAATAATGTGTCATGCTCTATGTCATACATTTGGCACCATGAGACACTTATGCTCTAGTTTATTATTTGCTATTGATGAGTGTGAATAAGATCATATTCAGTCGGACACCCATCATATTTTTGTTGCAAAAATCCCTTTATGAACAAAAAAGGACATATCAGAAACAAAAAATATGTCAACATAGTATACGTCTTGATGCTCAGGTTTGAGTAGCTTAAATTTCCCTTCAAGCTGGTAATCTTAGTTTTTTGAACTTGAACAAACCAATACCCCTGATTGGACCTCTTGCACATCCCTAGATATATTTCAAGCACTCATTAATTTCAGTCACAATTCGAATCTCTTAGTTCATTCCACAAATTTAAACCCTAATTTAACCTAGCTAGAAACTCTATTTCAACCCTTAACATAAGTTGAATAAAACTTCCTTAGGATGACCATAGGATTGTATTGTATTTAGAAAACATAATAGGAGGAACCCTTTGATCATTCAATTCAAAGTAATTTAATTCTCTTTTAAATAAGTTTGACTTTAGCCATCCATATGATATCCCGCTTTCTAGGCTTAACCCTAATTGATCCAATGGATCCACTTTATAGTATAAGCAATCAAGTTCTTCCTCATTGGATCAGCAACATGCTTGTTTATTGTAATTAAATATGAGACCTCTTAAGCTTGACTTGTAGGCCAAAATTTGACCAATATTCAAACCAACACTACTATCACTTAATCCTCAACACATTCGGTGATTTTCAACCAAAAACCCCAGTCACTTGGCGAAACGCCGAAACCTCTTCCAGGGTTTAGATCATCAAACCATAAGTGAGTTAACTATTAGACTAGGCTTCTAAACCCTAGCTTTACCCAATAGAACCCAATTGGGACAATTGAATCTAGAATATAGCATTTGACAATTTGTCTTTGGCCAACCATTTGAATAGGTCCTAATAGGTTATTAATAATTTGATAGAGGCAAGTAGACTTTCAGAGTAGCTTGATTGTATCCTTCAACCGAATTTAGCCCAAAAGGGTCTATTTGACCCTATAGAACCAAACCAATCATATTGATTAAATTGATTCCTCTAAGGCCTTAAACAAATTCTAATTGGTCAATCATAAATTCTAATTTCTTGATTCACATTAAGCTGATTAAGGTGCCAACAAAGATTTTTCCCTCATTAACACGAAAATTTTCATGTAGAATGATGCCCTTACGCTTTAAGTCAGATTGTCTAACTTCCTTATTTCTACTTATTATTTTCTTTATCTGACTTACTCTCACTTCAAGGAAAGCTCTACTATGTTGTTTACACGATACATACTTTTTTCCCCAATTAAATCAAATTGGATTTGTTTGGCAAGTAAGGGCCAGCGAGGACTTCCATAAATCTAGCTGGATGTGTACTCCCAAAGCCCCCCTTCAAGTATGCCCGGAATCGAAAAACACTTTTTAGTACTTTCTTCTCTAGCACTGAAAATATCCAGTTTCCTTCATCCTCTAGATTGACATTGGTCATATTGCCCACTTTAAGGGGAATCTGATTAGTTCGTCCAACGGAAGAAGATATAAAAGGATTCCAAAAAAAAAAAGATCAAGAACTTACGTTCTCTTGTGATCTGTCGAAGGTTCTTGTAGTCCCCACTGGATGACGATTCAGAATCCGACATGGACATGATTGGTGATTCCGTAGGACCTTGGAAAGTTCGAAGGTGGGGATCGTCTCAACCTCTCAGCCTCCGATTAGATCAAATATCCTGACTCCCTGCTGCTCCCGGGCGATGATACTGGAAAAAGAGAGATAAATGAAGGGAGGGAGGGGAACTCTACCCTCTCCCCCCGAGCGGTGACGGCGCCGCGAAGATCCAGTTGGCAGATGAACGTTGTCGGGATATTCCGGCGAGGTCGCCGGAGAGGTAATTTCCCCGGAGATGGTGGGCTAGCGGACCACGGGCCCGTCTAGAGCAGAATGACCAGAAGCAGAGGAAAAGAGATGAGGACCAGTGGAAACTGGAAAGCTCAACTTGGTGGTATTTGTGAGGGACAATTATAGAAAAACGATCAGATTTCTAGGATGAAACCGTGCGAACGTCGAACCTAAGTACGGGATGCATAGGGCTGTACAAGAAAAAAAAAATTCGTCTTAGATGTGGTTAGTCCAACAAACAGATAATTTAAGTTCGACTTTTAAATAGCTGAACATGAATAAAATTTTATTATATTATGCTTAATTTATGTTAATTAAAATTAAAAATTTTATGACTCCACCACGGCTCCAGAGCACATTTTGTTTAATATAAGCTGAAATCTAATAGAATAATAAAGAATATGAATATATTAAATTTTAACTTAGTTGAGCCGCTCTAATATTGTTGAATCAATAAATGGTATTGGAACATAATACGAGATGGTTGGAAGATGGCTGCAAGATGAAGGTAGCAGGAATGCCCTTAAAGAGAGCGGAAGGGTCCCAATGTGGATGAAGCACTTCAAGACTTATACGTCAGAAATATGCTGATAGCTAATAGCTAACATATAATGCCACATTGAGTTGATAGTAGTACAAATGTAATTAATTTCTATTTTGATTCTTATTAAATTTTGATTCATTGAATGTAATTGTAACTAACTACTCTTGGAAGGATAAAAAAGAAGAGAGAAAAGTTTGCCATAATTCTTTTGTTTTCCTTTCTTGTTGTCTTTAAAGTCTGAATTCACTCCAAGGGTTTCTATGTTAATACCATCTCCTTGAGATTATATGAATTAGTGCGCTTAATGACACTTCGACGAAGAATGGTAAATTAGCTATGGTGCTGCAAACAATCCAAACCCAAAATGGGATTAAACTAACACTAGTATAGGGTTCAATCTACAATGTGTAGGAGCAGATCTTGGTGATTAAAAAAACATTACACTAGTTTCAATATTTTTATAGAGATGATGGATAAATGAATGGAGGATCTATCTTGGTCAAGATCGGTGTAGGAGAATTTTTCAGAAATAATAGTAGGAAATTAGGTTAGTCATGTTCTTAAAATATATTGATCATGTGAGAAATTAGTAGAGTTTTTATCAAGGTTTTTAAAACCGGACCAAATCGGACCGTCCGGTTCAACCGTGAACCGATCAGGCGGTCGGTTCGGCTGGGCTGAAAACATGGGAAAAAATCAGTCAAGAACCTGGTTGAACTGGGAAACTGTCGAACCGGGCAGTTTTAGAATAGCCGGGCGGTTTTAGAAGAATTTGACGATTTTTAAAATCGCTAATATAAGACGTTTATCTGAGATCGAACGGCATATAGACATTGCGGATTGATATTAGTCACTCATTTGCCCTAGCATACGCCATACGTGACTCCGGACTCCATATGCGACACCTCCTATCCTCCTCCATCAGTCCATCTAGAAAGCCTCCTCCGACCTCCTAGCCACCGGTGCATGCCATACGCGACTCCATGGTGACCGTGCTAGTTAAGTTGGGGAAGAAGTCACCTTTGGCTGCCTACCCGACCCGTCTAGCTTAGATTAGCTAGATCCCGACGTGGTTTCTTTAATTTCTATATTTTTGAGTAATTATTTACACATTTATGCTTGCATTCCTTCTCCGAATCTTATCGATAGTTTCTTGCATTCCTTCTCCTAATTTCTCTGTTTTATTCTATTCTTGTTCAATTTTGATTTCGTTTGCAATCACTAGCAATAAAATTTAAAAATTGTAATCTAACATATTTTGATTCCGTTTACAATCACAAGCCTATTTGAAAGTACTTCTCTCACCATCATGGAAATGGAGAGCCAACATGGATGCATAATCCAAAGCAAGTGCTAGGTTAATAAACTTGATTATAAATTCATACTCTCTTACCATAATGTGTTATATATTATTTTAATTACTCAAACACTAACTAGTTTTAATTTTTTTTAGAGTGTATAACATAAAATTGCAAGAGACAAGAACCCTTGCTAATCATGAAAACTCAACTTATGAGGATAGCTTTCACAATGCAAATTTTCCTTTTTTATGAAATTATTAAAACTATTGAACTATGAAAGAGACATATTATTAACTTCATATATGTATTATGAATGTGTTGTCTTAAAAAAAAATAAAAAAAATAAAAAAAAAATGAATGTGTTGTCTTTTTTTTCTTATTAGTTGGTGTAAAGTGTCATAATCTTGCTATAATATTTTGCTTATTTACTTCATATTATGTGCACAATTATGATGAGTATGTTATATTTATTTTGTTTTCAGGGCTTCACTAATTGGAGATAGAAATTATATGTTATTTATTTATGTTTTATAAACTTAATTGATGTCACATTTATATTATATTATTTGTTTATGTTTTATAAACTTAATTAATGTCATATTTATGTTCTTTGATTAGTTTTATATGAAAATAGAATGTAGAGTGAATGTATTAGAGGAAAATTTCTCATTCATTTTATAATTTTTAATAATATTATTATTTATTATGTCATCCGGTTTAACGTCGGTTCGATCGGTCAAACCGGTCGAACTGTGAACCTCTCCTTCCATTTTGTTGTCCGGTCTGATATTCAAAATGTCATTTGTGTTGCCCAATTTTATTTTTTAAGCACTCGCTAAAGTATTGTGAACTCCACTTTATCTCCCTTGAAAGGCACTGAAAGCCCTTATCATCATGAGAACTTGATCTCCACATCTCAACTTCACAATCGAAGGGATGTAAGTTATTCATGGGCTTCTCAAACTTCTCTAATTTTAGGTGAATACTAAAGCAAGTTGTAATACAGCTAATTCATATGGACTGAGAAAGGATGGAGTTTGCATATGTTTCCTGAGATATAAAATGTGAGTGCTAGTTGGTTTGAATGGTGATGCCCAAGAAGCTGTGAGCATGGCCTAGATACTTCATGGTAAATTTAGTATTGATTTGTTGGATGAGGTTGAGTATGGCATTGGGATCATTTCCTATGAGTAGTATGTCATCAACATAGATGAGAAGGTACAGTTTGATGTTGTTTTTGTATAAGGTGAGGAAAGAGTGGTCGGCTTTGATGTGCTTGAAATCGATGGTTTGAAGGTGGGTTGAAAAGGTATTAAACCATTATCTTGGACCTTGTTTGTTTCTATATATGACTTTATGTAGTAGACACACATGGTTGGAATGAAGGTTATCTTCAAAGTCTTTAGGTTGTGTCATATATATGGTTTCTTTGAGATCACCATGTAAGAAGGTGTTTGCTACATCAAGTTGTTGTACTTGCCATCTGTTATGAAGTGAAACAGTAAGAGGACCAGAATAGTGGGCATTTTGGCTACTGGGCTAAAGTGTTCTGGTAGTCGAAGCCATGTTGTTGTCTATGACCTTGAACAACTAGTCATGGTTTGTACCGGGCTAGAGTGCCATTCGAATGGAATTTAGAGCGGTAAGTCCAACGCCATCTTAGTATGTTGGCTTTGGGAGGAGGAGGTATGAGCGTCTAAGTGCCCTGGCAATGAAGTGTCAGAAATTCTGAGGCCATTGCCTCTCTCCAGTGATGATGTTTGGAAACATCTGAGTAGGTGGAGGGATCATATATTTGTTGTGGAACTTTAGGCTAGGTGGTGTGAAGGAAATTTAGAATGGTTTTGGGTTTTAGAGAGCCCATTTTGAATATGGTGGTCATTGGATAAATGGCTTGGGTCTAGAGAGTAGTAATGGGAGCAGAGTTGGTTGATGGCTGAGCGGGTGAGGGATGGTTTTTGGTGTTTGAGTGAGGGGTGGGGAGATTTTGTAGGATGTATGTTTGAGAAATCAAGTTTGCTGAGAGTGGTGGGGTGACATTTGGAGGTGGGGATTAGAAAGAATGGGTTGTCTGTGGTGGGTTGGGAGATAGGGTTGGTGGATTGAGTTGGTGAGGTAGAGCTATATGGGAAGGTTTGTTCATCAGATATTACATATTTGGAGAGGATTATTTTATTGGTGGTGTGATCAAGGCATTTGTAGCCATTGTAGGAGTCGAAATAGTGCAGGAATATACATTTGGGTACTCGAGGTTCCAATTTGTGGTGTTTAGTCTGAGGTAGCAATGGATAGCAGGCACAACCAAATGTTCTAAGGTGGGAGTAATCTTGTATAGTAGTTGTGTCTTAATTATTTCACAATCAAATAATATAAGGCATGTAAGATTCATCTCTCGATTGATTAGATGAACTGCTGTTAGAGCATCATATGGCTAGAATATATAAGGAAGGCTTGCTGTGTGAAGAAGGGTTCTAATGGTTTCGGTAATGTGTTGATTTTTGTGTTAGGTGGTGCCATTTTGTTCAGGTGTATAGTGGCATGATATTTGATGATGAATAGCCTATTTTCTAAGAAATGTTTGAAGCGTGGAGTTTAAGAATTATGCGCCACCATATGTTTGTATTCTTTTGATTGAGGTGGATAGTTGTTTTTCAATGAAGTTAATAAAAGTGAGAATAATTTGGGGAACTTCAGTTTTGTAAAACATCAGAAATAGTTGTATGATAAGGTAATATCTGTATCCTTGATTAGATGAGACTGAGGACGGTCCCCATATATTTAGATACAGTAAAGCTAACGAGTAACGAGAAGGATACATAATTTTTGCTAATAGAACAAACTAGTTTATGGCTTTTACAAGCCTTATAGTGAGAGCAGAATTTAAAAGCTGTAGGGATTGTTACATGTTTACGTTGTTGAAAGATGGTTGAGATGACTCTGGAGTGCGGGTGGCCGAGTCTGTTGTTCCATTGTATGGACGGAGAGATGTGTGCTATAAGGGTAACTTCAGATATAAAAGAGGTAGGAGTTATAATGGTGTAGAGACCATTTCGACATGGTCCTTGCAAGATAAAGTTCTGAGCCATCAGATCTTTAATGGAGAAATCAGACGATGAGAATAATATAGAGACATTATTATCATGGGTAAGATTGAATACTAATAGTAGATTGAGAGACAGGTTAGGTATGTGGTAGATAAGAGGTAGGTGTAACTTACGAGTAGTTGTGGGAAGTATACCAATGCCATAGTGAGCAATCAATAGAATACCTCCACTGCCAACTATGATGTTGTCCGTGCTATGATATGGAATAGGTTAATCTAGATTGTCCAGTGATGTTGAAAGATGAGAGGAATCTCCGGAGTCGATGTACCA